TCACAAGATGGTCCACTAGACGAGTCACATGATGGTCCACTAGACGAGTCACAAGATGGTTCCCAAGATGAATCACAAGATGGTCCACTAGACGAGTCACAAGATGGTTCCCAAGATGAATCACAAGACGGTTCCCAAGATGAATCACATGATGGTCCATGGGGCGAGTCACGGGACGCGCCCGGCCCCCCCGGCTCCCCCGGCTCGCAGGTCTCCAACGACGGCAACGTCATCGAGCTCGAGGCCCAGGGCATCGTCATCTGCCACCCCCAGACAGGCGTGCCCACCCACTCCATCTGGACCGTGCGCCCCTTCGTGCCCCTCCAGCTCGCGCTCTCCATCCCCGCGGCCTTGACGGACTTGCTCGGCTTTGGCGCCGAGATCTTCGAGGGCTACCTCGCCAGCGTGCGTGAGGCCGGCATCATCGACGAGCGCGCCGTGCCGCCGCCCAAGCTGCTCTTGTGCCGCATCTGCGAGACCAGCTTCCCCGCGTGGTTCATCGAGAAACACAGCGAGCTGTGCTTGCTCGAGCACAAGGTCGAGGAGGAGGTGCAGTTCTGCCACGACGCCATTGCGGAGCAGCGCGAGCTCGTTGTGCGGCTTGCGGCCGCGCTGCTGCCGGGGCGGCCGCTCGAGTACAGGGACATGCCGCTCGCGCCGCCGCAGCCTGAGCCGTCCGGCGACGGCCGGGCGGGGGCAGGCGATGATCTTGGGTCCCGGCTTTCGGGCGATGATCTTGGGTCTCGGCTTTCCGGCAATGTCCTGGCCCGTCTCTCCGGAAACGACCTGGCCCGTCTCTCCGGCAATGTCCTGGATTCTCTCTCCGGAAATGTCCAGACATCTCTTTCCGGCAATGACCAGGCCCCGCTCCTCCAGAAATTGGTCGACTTCTGCGACGACGCGCTCCTCATCAACGCGGCGGAGCGCCAGGAAGCCACCGGCGCGTTTGCCTTCTCGCCCAACACCGAACGCGCGCTCCAGCTCGTCCGCACGTGGCCGCCGCTCGACTCCCCCGACCCGGCGCTCCAGGCCATGGTGGCCGACACGCGCGCCTTGGTCGCCGAGAAGGCCGACAAAATGGCCCGCCTCCTCAGCCTTCTCCAGTACTCCGAGAAAATCAAGCAGGAGGTCGACGACTTGGTGGTACAGGCCGTGGCCGACACCGTGGCCTTGATCCGTGAGAAGACGCGCCAGCACGAAAGCGACTTCCTGGCCCTGCGCCGCCGCGCGCTGCCCCTGCCGAAGGGCTCGCCCGCCAGCTCGCCCGCCCCGCCGGGCTGCCTGCCCCGGCCCCTGCAAACCATCCACTCGCCGCAGCCCTCGCGGGTCCGCAGCCCGACGCGGAGCCTCTTGGGCGACGACTTCGCCTCCGCGCGCCGCCTCCAGAGCTTCACGCCCCAGGACCTCTTGGCGGGCTCGCCCTCCTTGATCGACAGCCGCACGTCCATCTCGCCCAACACCTCCTTGTCCAAGCTCCCCGCAAAGGACCTCGCCCGCGCGATGGACGCCATGGACTTGTCTCTGGACTCGCTCGACGCCTCCCCGCTGCACTCGGCCATCCCGTCCCCGAGACTCCACCTATCGCCGGCGCCCTACGTGGAGAAGCCCGGCCTCTCGGGCCTCCAGCGGAACACCACGGCAAGGTGCAACCAACACACGCCGCCGCGGCCCCTGAGCGGCGACTACAGCCTGGCGCACAAGAAAATGGGCAACCGCGCCCGCTCGTCCTCCAACTTGCTGCTCCCTCCCCTGTCGAAGTCAGACATGTCGCCGCACATCGCCACGGTGCCCATGGCGCCACCCAGCTCCTCAAATACACCCACCTCGGCCCCCCGGGGCTCCTTCTCCTCGCCTCGCCCGCCGCTCTCGCCCTTGCTTGTCTCGCAACCCGCCAGCCAAAAGGCTGCGACCGGGGGCATCAGGGACTACGAGATCTTGAAAGCAATCAGCAAGGGCGCCTACGGCTCCGTGTTCTTGGCAAAGCGCAGGTTGACCGGAGACTATGTGGCCATCAAGTGCTTGAAGAAGGGGGACATGATTGCGAAGAACCAGGTCTTGAATGTCCGCGCAGAACGAGCGGTCATGATGAAGCAAACCGACTCTCCGTATGTCGCCCAGCTCCATTGCAGCTTTCAGAGCAAGGACTACCTCTATCTTGTCATGGAGTATTTGAATGGCGGCGACTGCGCCACTCTCTTGAAAATGCTAGGGACGCTCGGAGACAAGTGGGCCAAGCGATACATCGCGGAAGTGATAGTGGGTGTTGAGGATTTGCACCAGAGGGATATTATTCACCGTGACTTGAAGCCCGACAATCTCTTGATTGATAGCCACGGCCATTTGAAATTGACCGATTTCGGCCTTTCCAGAATCGGTGTTCTTGGGCGCCACACTTATCGCCACAGGAAGAGCAGCGCCTCTGAACACGGCATCGAGCTCTTCAGAAGAAGCATCAACAACAACTCATTGTCCCAGAGTCCTTTGGTGAATAGCATCGCTGTGGAGTCCCCTGACTTGATCCCAAACACACACAAACGAAACCTGTCTGTGACGCCTTTCTCCTTGTCCCCTGCCACTGACCAGCACAAGTTCAATCTTGGCCCACACGGCCACCTGACATCCATTTCATCGTATGACTCGGCAATTCCAGCCATACCAAACACGAAGAAGAAATCCATTTCCCACTTCAGAGCTTCCAGCAACCGTTCTGGATCAGCAAGCAGCAGCATCGACTCGCCCAATCTTAGACCAGTCAACGGAATGCCCCCTTCAGAGTCATCTTTTGCATTGCTCGATGATGGATGCGAGTTTCTGATGAGTCCTTCTCAAAACGAGGAGTCCATCAATTCGTTCACATTGTTCGATCCTACTAAAGCGTCTGATAAAGTCAAAAAATTCGTTGGCACCCCTGATTATTTGGCCCCTGAAACCATCAAAGGAGAAATTCAGGGCGAATATTCAGACTGGTGGTCAATCGGGTGTATCTTGTTTGAGTTTGTGTACGGTTATCCGCCATTCCATGCCAGCACACCTGAAAAAGTTTTTCAAAATATTTTGAGCGGCGAAATTGACTGGCCTGCGTTGTCCGAGGAAGAGGATCTAGAGCTATGTGCGCCTGAAGCGAAAGATTTGATACGTGGGTTGCTCACTTTGGATTACGAGCATAGACTTGGCTATAATGGCGCTGAGGAGATCATGGAACATCCCTACTTCAAAGACATAGATTGGAACAATTTGTACCTGGAAACTCCGGACTCTTTCATTCCGATTCTAGATGGCCCAGAGTCAACAGAATACTTTGACTTGCGCGGTGCTGATATTTCACAATTCCCCCAAGACGACCCTGATTACACAGAAATAGAGCCGCTACGGACTGATCTGAATTCAGACAGTGGATCTCCAGGCACTTATCTATCAATGCCAAGTACTCCAACATCAGTCAAAAGGGAAAGACGCGGAAGCAAACTTGCGGACACAAGTGAGTTTGGGTCATTCAATTTCAGAAACTTGAACGTACTAGAAAAAGCCAACAAGGATGTGATAAACCGGCTAAAGTCGGAACACCTAGAACACAGGTCAAGCATTTCTTCATCCTCGTCCGAGTCGTTTACGCCCGGGCATAATAAATCGCGTGGTCTGTCTATATCCTCGAATATTGTCAACCTCGGAAGTCCATTTAAACGACCAGTTTCACCTGCTCCCATTGCTAATGTTCCGCTTTCGCCAGGAAAGGAGAAATTTCCTACACGCCTGGGAAGCAAAAAGTGGGACAGTACTACTACTGTTTCCACTGCAAGTACTGGTCGCTCACTTTCGCTGGCACGTTCTTTTTCAAGACAAGTTATACTGAGAACTGCCGATGATTTGGCTTACTCCCCATCTAGCTCTGACAACGAGGAGAACGCTACATCATTATACAGGGCTCACAACCGGAAAGAAAGCTTGCGTCGTATGGATAGCTCTGCAAGCGGTTCTTCTCATGGCACACAAGGAACCCATTCTCCCCAGAAGGAACACGCCACTTTTGTGGCGCACGACGAATTAGACGTGCTATATTGTGAACCAATTCCAATTGTTCGCCACACTGTCTCGAAGCTAATGGAAAAACAGGGCTGTATTGTTCTACCAATAGCCGATGGAGAGGACCTCATACGACGTGCTACAAGCAAAGTCAAATTTGACTTAATATTCACCGCATTGCGGTTGGCTAAAATTGAGGCTGCGGACGCCGTTCGCTTAATTAAGTGCACCAGCGGGGTTAATGCCAACACCCCCATCATAGCGATCACAGGTTTTGCTAAGGAGGCTCTAGACCTGGGTATATTTGACGATGTGCTCGAAAAGCCCGTGGATGGCTCAATGATACAAAGCCTTATCCACAAGTTTCAATTACAGAACGTTGCAGTCGAGTCTGATCCCGAGGATTAATTGGACTTCACCTCTTCAAGACTTAATTCCAGTTTTTGGGACTCAGCTTCATTGGTTGTGGAGACATTTGTCTTTTGAGCAGTTTCCACTGGGGGTACCTCGGATGACTCAGAATCACCCAGCACCCCTACTGTGGGTGTTTGCTCGGCCGTAGAAAGATCCACAGCCATTCTTTCCGCTGAGGACGCGAGCTTGGCCTTTTTGGAAATGTGCTCAGCAGTCTGAGGTGCGGCGTCTGTTTTCAAATGCTCGGGGATGTCACTTCTTAAGTAGTTGTGTGTGTACCACCTCAATTGCTCGATACTTTCCAAAATATCAGATCTAGCAGTGTGTGCGCCCTTCTTCTTGGGGTACATCTTCATGAGCTGGGGATTGTGACGATAGCCTACCTCCATGATGGAGGACACGTCAACCAAACGGTAGTGCAAGTGGTCAATAACTCGCGGGAACTCCTTCATCATGAAGAACTTATCCATGTGCACCGAGTTGCCCGCCAAAAGAGAAGTCCGAGGTTCACTGATGTATGTCTGGATGTATTCCAAAAGCTCCTGCTCCACTTTAGCCAAAGTCTGCAGAGGGTTGGCCAAGACTTTGGCAGTGAGGCCCGACTGACCATGGTGAGTCACACACCATTCGTTCATGTTGTCCAAAACTTTCTTTGGAACATACACGGTACTCTCATAACCCTTTTCGTCAACGATGTTCAAATTGCCGTCGGTGATGATGCAGCAGATCTCGATGATGTGATCCTTGGAGATATCGAGACCCGTCATTTCGCAGTCAATCCAGACCAAAGGCTTGAATATGGAGCCACTGTATTTGCGCTTTGTGGGCTTCACGCTCTGTAAGGGAGCAAGTGACGGTTTTTTGAAGAGGCGGCTCACTAAAGAGGAAAACATACTTTCTGCCAGCTATAATCTGGGGAATATGGATGAATCACCGAGTGTTCCCCATGTCTATCGAGATGAGGTGCGCAGACTCCGGCACACTGTGTGTTTTGAAGTTGAAACTTGTTATGCGGATGCAGGTTCTATGTGAAGAGGCATCAATATGAGGTATGTTTCTTGTGTCTTTCCAGTCTGTTAGAAAATGGGAATCAGAGATACAATGCCAGATTCTGGAAAGGAAGGCTTTTCCAACCTCGCCCAACCATTTTTCTGATTTAGACTCTTGTGACAAAGGGGAAGCGTCGGAGTCATGCCTATGTGCAGACCCCTCTCAGAGTTGAAAGAGGGAATATTGGCTTCAAGTTCAGAGAAGCATGCCCTATGACTCCAAATTCTAATCTAGAGTCCCAGTCAAGAGGCATGTTTTTGGATTGTGCTAACAGGAAAATTCGACGGCGCATAAGACGATGATGCCTGGATTCTAGAGATTCTAGGAATTTCCCTTCGGACTTCCTGATCGCCCCAAGTCCGCAATATGGGCGGGACCGAACCATTTTGATTCTGCCCGCATCGTCCCTACCCCGACGCCAGATACCTCCATCTTCAACCAAAAAAGAAAAAAAAAACATACCAGATGTTGTTTTTCTCTACCAGACCTACGCTTCCCTATCTTGAGAGGTGAAAACCTGCGATCGACCTTTTCGGGCCGTGTCCTGCGCTGTGTCGCGGCCCAGCACCGGCCAATATGCAAGTGCCATGTGTCTTTCGAACCCAGTTCAAACCACATCTTCAAAATGGCAGGCATGATCAAAAGAGACAGGGCGTATTTTTGGTATTTTGTACTCCACATCCCGATCACGATATTGATTGACTCGTGTCTCGTGATCCCGAGAGAACATCGGCATTGGGTGCAGGCGTGGATGGTGGATTTCCATGTGAGGCTGAATAAGGATTTTCTCTTGCAGAACCCTCCGCTCTGGCTCCAGGTGTTTGGAGTCTTTGAATTATTTTTCCAGCTCCCGGTGTTCTTCTTGGCGGCCTACAAGCTCTTCCGCGGGCGCAGGAAAATCCACGTGATGTTGGTTCTTTACGGTTTCAATGCTTCGTTCACCACTTTGGTTTGTTTGGTGTATGTGTTGAAAACAGCGCTGAACCACGGTCTCACTGACGGCGAGAAGTGGAAGTTGTTTGCGTTGTACCTCCCTTACTTGCTTATCCCAGCGTTCATGATGGCCGACTCCGGGTCCAGGCTATTGCTGTGGATGACACGTCTCCACAAGTTGGAGGCGAAACGGCGCGTCGAAAAGACGCAAACGAAAAAGGTGAGAAAGCCCATGCCGCGTGCACATTGAGCACGCCAGACCTACGAGTTTGTTATTCAGATTTATATTGGGCGTATGTATCGTAGCTACGGCTGAGAGGCCACACAGGCCGCTGGAACCCCGGCACGAGATGCATCTACTCGTATTGGGCAAGCAATTTGTTGACCAACTCGATGTACTGGGCCTCGGCGTCGGCTTGCGAAGTGCCCTTCAAGTCCTCCCAGGCTTGCCACTTGTACTTGCCCTTCAAGTCGAACATGCCCGGCTTGGCCGTGGTGTTGTCGCCAACAGTGGCTTGCTTGTACAAACCGTACAAGCTCAACAATTCGTCATCGGAAGGGCGTTTGGTCAAGGCGTTGACGGCTTCGGCCTGCTTTGTTAGTAGGCCATGTGGCCAAAACGCCCCCAGATGCCGCCAAAACGCCGAACATGCGTCGAGAGATGCATATCTGGGGAATTGGGTGCAGGGGCGTGGTTACAGGCTACGTACTTTGGCGGTGAATTCGGTGGAAACCATTTTTTGCGGGAAAGAGTGTGGTGGGGGAAACGTGTGGAAATGTTGGCCCAGCAAAATAGAACGGTTGGAGCCCGCGTCACGTGACGCGTCGCACGGGCGTCTGTGCGGGGTCGATGTGGGACCAGAGTGTGTGGAGCTGGCTGATTTGAATGATCTTCTTCTGAGGAATGGCGGGACTGTCGAAGTTTATTATGGATTTGGGCCCTGTGGTCTGGCTCAAGTGACAGACAATGTTGAACTGGACAGAACGGGCACACGGCACGTGACCGCGGGGTCATTGGCCAAGGAAAAGTACCATTTGACAGCAGTTTCTGGGCCCGTAAGCAGGAAAACTGCGGCCTACTGCTGGCTGAGATGGTGACCCCCTAAGTCCGTTTGGCCGGGGGTGCCCGGACGGCCGGACCGCTGTCCAGTCACGTGCACCAAGTCACGTGCACCCGATCACGCGACACGCACTTGGCATTGGTGCGTGATCGGTGGCGAATTAGAAAGATAAGTCCGAACAGGAAAGCTTATTCCGTGTTTGTTCGAGTGTCCGGGGCGTCTCAGGTGCCATTTCAGGATTTCTGGGGCGCCTGCTTTTGTGGGCTGCCGTTGCACCTCTAAGTTCTCCTGTACCCTGGATTTCCCTGTTTTGTATTTGCTTGCATCCTTGGGTTTGTTTGTGCCGTTTGTGCCGCTAGTGCCTCTGGATTTGCTAGTGCCTCTGGATTTGCTAGTGCCTCTGGAGTAGTTGGTTACTCTGGATTCCCACTCTATCTCCATGTCTATAGTTTGCCGAATATCCCAATTTCCCAAGCCGACATCCCAAGTATATTTCGGACAAAACAGCCCCATCAATCCAGTGCGGAACCTGCTTGATGATTGTGCTCATCTAAATTACTGGTTCAAGCTCTGCTGCTTGCTGATCATAAACCACGGGCAAGGACATGAAAGTGACCCCGGCAAATGCCCGATTGGGAAAAACACCGGCAGGAAGACCCGAAGAGACGCCGCCCGTGCCGCCGCAGACTGCACACAGGGCCATGCCCAGCCGCTTGCTTCGTAAGCGCACTTAGTCACAATAGGACCTGTATACAGGCGGCTGCTCGGTTCTGCACTTCATCCGGCTCCGTTCTTGGCTTCTCAATGTGCTTTGTAAGCTGCGGCTGAGATGACCAGCTGCGAAACCTGGTATAAAGCCACCACGTCTGTCTAGTGACATGGCGGAATATCACTTTTAAGCTAATATTTTTTCATCTCAAAGACATTAATTGACGCTTGCCCAAACGTCTTCTGTGCCAGCTGTCTTCCTCGGTGCTTACTGCGTCCGGCCTGAAGTGCATATCTTTTAATATTATCTCGGGCAGATCATAAACACCAGTTTGCCCTGTCCCTGGATTTCTTCTCCAAACACAGACCCGCCACCTTTTCTGTTTTTCTGTCGAAAAGAAAAACACAAACACCCACAAAATGCCTGAAAGTGCCACGACCTGGAGCACCGATTTCGATCCTGTTCTCAACCAGGTGTTTTACATCAATAACCAGGATGGTTCTGTCTCGTTCGATCTGCCATGCGAGGTGGTCATCACTCCCAAGCGCCATTCTGGCAAAGGCTTCTTTTCCAAACTCTCGTCCAAATTGTCGCTCATCAGACCCAAGTCTCCGACCCAAAGGTCGTATCCATGTCCTTTCAGTGACGTGAATTCGAAACCGTTGGGCGGGTCGCCCAGATCCAGCGGCTCGAGTTTCGGGAGTCTCGTGGCCCGTGCAGTTGCCAGCTCCCCGGCAGCACGTCGATTATCGCTGGAAATGGACTCTTATTCCTTGGCGCCGGCACCCGCGTATTCTTCGGACATTGGCACGGTGCCCAGAAACGCATATATGATGGAGAGGGCATTCGACCTCAGCCAGCACGACGATGTGTTTTCGGTGATATCTGATGAGTCCATCCATTCCTTCCACCACGAGCTCCCCAGATCGGAAATATATTATGACACCGAGAACTCGGTGTATGTCGACGAGCTCTCATTGTCACCGGTCGACATGGAGCGGGAACGATATGAGGTTCGCCAGCAAATATTGAGGGAGCTTTATTAAAGCCCACGGCTCGGGAACTCTGCCACTGGCCACGCCCATCACCGGTTGATGGTTCAATTCTCTGTGCATATTTCCATTCCGGCAGTTATTTATTAGATAGACAACAACCGCCACTTTTTCCGGCATGTGCAGTTTTCCCCAGCAATATATTTTTCAGGTACAAGAGACGTAGAAGCCATCCAGTACATTTTTGTATCCGGTCGCCCACTCGGCGCCATGTCCCTCACAAGCGTGGGGAGAAGTCGATGTCCACTTGGGCAATGAGCTTGTCAAAGTTCCCCAAGACTCTATACTTGGATGAGGCGATCTTCGCCTCCTGCTCACTTTTCTCGGCAATCCTGGACTCGAAGTTAGCCTGCGCGTCCTGCAAGGCCTTCTGGTTTTCCTCGTTGACCAATTCCTGGTAGAAGATCCTCGTGGTGGTCTTCAATCTGGAGAACGGGTCGCCGTCGGACAAGTCAGTGGTTTTCCGCAAAAACGAGGACTTGACCTCTGCCTTACGGATGTTGGTCTGGTTGAGCTTCCTGTTGCGCTCGTTGACCTTCGACATGCTGGTGGACGAGCTCTGGGAGCTTCTGGCGTTATCCTTGTACAAGACCTGCTCCAACGTGTTCAATTGGGCAGTGAGCTCTTTGACACGCGCTGTGTTGTTCTCCTGCCGGGCCACCTTCAACTCATCCAAGACCTTGGACTTCTGGTACACAGCGTCGTAGGCAGTGATTCCCTTCAGCAACTTCTGCCTGCGCGAGACCATCTCGTCGATGTCTTTATTAGAAAGCCCGCTGTTCATCAAACGGTGCAACTGCTCGGCCTTCTCGTTGACATCGTCCACGTAGGGCACCTCCTCGTTGAGCTTGGCCAACTCCGCCGCGTAGCGCGCGAACTCATCGGGCGTGATGTCCGCGTCGCTGAACACAGAGAGCGGGAACTCCTTCTTCTGCGCGTTGTTCTGGCTCACGAGAAGATACATGTCCGTCTTCCCGTCGCCCATGCGGTACTGCTTGTGCGGGTGCAACACGACCTCCTCGATCTGTACCGCGCGGTACATGGGCTGGCGCGTGCGGCGGTCCACGCCCACGTTGATCTTGCCGAAGGTGTGCGCCACGGCCTCGGCGAATTCCTTGTAGTAAAGAAACTTGCCGAGGAAGCTGCGCCCGACGCGGATCTTGTTGATGTCGGCCGCCGTTGCCCGGACGTACGTGCGAGGCCGGTGCTGCAGCGCCCCGGCGCCCCACACCACACCGTCCGCGGCGTCGGCGGAAGCGTCGGAAAAGCCCGCATCCTGCTCGGAATCATCCTCCGCGCCCGCGTCGTCATCGTCCTCGTAGTCGTCTTCACGGCGCCGGGTACGCTGCTCACGCTGCTTGCGCAACTCGCTGAGCGTGTCTGTTTTCGCCGTGGGCACGCCCGTCTTGCGGCTCAGCGCCCGCGTCTTTGGCTCCACGCCCTGCGTCTTCTGCTGGCGCATGCGCTGCTGCAAGTAGGTTTTCTCCGTGTACCGGTCCATCTCCTGCGAGCGCTCGAAAAGCGCCTGTTCACGCTCGACCTCGTCCATGGCAAGAAGCCGCGCACGGTCCGCCTCGTCCCGGTACTTGCCTTCCAAGGGATATGGGTTGGCAAGCGGCGCGCCCTCGTCACTCGAGTCGGCGCCGTTTTGCGCCGTGTCTTCGGCGCCGCGGCTGCCGAACTCGACGTCCACCTCGGGGTCGAACTCGCCGTCTTCCGCGCTGTCCTCCGCGCTGTGTTCTGCGCTACTGTCGCCGGCGGGCCGAGGTTTCTTGCGGCTGCCCAGATCGCGCCGCGTACGCTTTGAAGGGACGTCCAGCACTTCGTGCTCGGACCCGGAGTCGGCGCCTGCGAGCGCCAACAAGTCGTCGTCTAGATCAGACATGTGTGTGTGTGGTGTTGTCGCTGGAAAAGATGGAAGAAGAGAAAGTAGGGCGGCAGTTGACAGTGGAAGGACGAGTGCGCACACCCGTACACCGGAGCTGGTGGCTAATGAGTGGTGTCTTCGCGTCTGTCTTTTTTGCTGATATCTTGGGTTTGTGTTTCTGCCGTTTACTCTTGCCGATGTTTTTGCGGTGAGCTTCGGTTGATTTGCTGTAGTGTTTTGGTGGTGCTGACAAAATTGACCAGCCACATTCTGAAAGAAGGGCAGGGGGACGCACCCGTACACCGGGGCTGGCGGCTAATGAACTGACTAGTATCTCTTAGTTCCTTTTGTTGGCCGTCTTGGATTTGTGTTAGTTTTTGAGTAATTACTGTCATTCTGACAGCTGTATGGCTGTGGTCTGAGCCTCTCTATCGTGTGTGTGTTTTGTGTTTTGTTGGTGCTGTAATTGACCCTGTGGTACTAAGCAGGGGTATATTAGAGATCCTGGTGTGTGCGCATATTGTCGTATATTTAGTAGTGTTACTAGATGCTGCTCTGCTTATACTTCATTTTGATTATGGGTTTTGGATTCAGAGGACCGCACTGAATGTTGTTTTTTTATGATTTTTGATGGGACTGTTTTGTGGGTGTTCTGATATGCTAGTTGACCTGTCGCTTTCCAGAAGGCGGGGCGCGCACCCGTACACCAATGTATTTTGACGGCTGTTCATGTCACTTCGGAGGTGTTGGTGGGTGGTAGACTTTTATTTGCATATGTTTGGTTTTGATATGATATCTTGTGCTTCAAAGATTGAGTAAGTTGTTGAAATCGCTTTCATCTTTTGGGTTTCAATTTTCCTCATTTTCACTCGACTGCCTGTCCGATTCACACTTTGGGCGATATTGAGCTTCAATGGTTTGCTTTTTTATGCCATCTTAGGATCCTCTCAGGACGCCTCATCTAAGGTTTAGCAGACACCTTAACTTGTCAAAAGACTGGAATAACAAAAGTGCAGATTACGGTGCAAAACTATAAGCAGATTATGACTATCCACGGCCTGAGTCTGGTATTTCCACAGACGAATGTCGGAAAGCACATTATTATAATCATATATGCTTTGTGATAGCGCACACACCCTTTTATTTCGATCTTTAGATAAAAAAAGTAGCTAATCTCATTCTCCTCGAAACAAAGTGCATGTGTTGGAAGGTAATTTGTGGGGTTTTGACATACGGTGCATGATGGCCCAAGTGCAAATTATCTCCAGCCACAGTTGCAAAACAGCCCGCCAGGCTGAATTTATGATACTCGATTTATATTTTCTGAAATATATTTGCCAAGTGCATATACAAGACACAACTTGAGAATACTTCATAACTGACGGGCGGTTTTTTGGTGGCAAGTTTCAACTTCACAAATAAAAATACTAAGTACTTTATCCTTTTTGTTGCTTGCTGGACTACCTCCGGTCATTTTAAATGTTGACAGATTACCTGAATGCGGCGATCAATTGAGAAGTCACTACTTTCACGGTTTATATGTCTCACCTAATTTTATGTAACGAGACGTATTCAGTGACGTCAAGGAAAGTATTTTTTCAGCAATCAGCTTGTTTCAGGCAGAGATCCTTGCTATTCGAGTTCTCCGCAATGTGCCAGAAGTAGGGCTTTACAGAAACATTCTTGATTGATCACATGCGTATCAATCCAGTTCTTACATGTGAAAGCACCTTTAATGGCGCTTTATCGGGGTAGTGAGTCGAGGCGTTGAATTAAAATTTATCGATTCGACTATTTATAGATAAGTAGACAGCAATCGAGATACAACATGAAAAAATAGCATTTTATATATCTCTTTGTAAGTCAAGCTCAGCATGCAGTAAAATTGGTTTTCGAAGAAAAAAAAGAAAGCTAATCACCAGCTTTTGCAAGTAGAAGGCCTGTAGCGGAAGGTGACAACCCACCGAGCAGAATGCGGAAATAATGTAGTTTCTTGATCCCAAAGGAAATGAAGGCTATTTCTTGATGTGATTCGAGAAAGCAAGCAGTGCGACATTTTCGAAAAGCTCACATGGATTTGCAAACCCTCGGAAATGCGAGACGCGCAATTTTTGCAGCCTGTGGCAAATGGGTGCAAAATTCCAGATTTATATTTCATGTCACAGATTTGGCCATCGGTGTATGCCGCAGATATACACAGTCTTTATACTGGAAAAAATATCCGGGAAGTTTATGGCAAAAAAAGAACTTTGGCTGTGTTTCTTTATTGATACTCATGAAAGAAACAAATAAATACCACAATTTGGCCTTTTCCGAACATGTTGTAATCGTTTTTTACTTTCTGAGGAGCATGATCGCGATGCTCACATCTGTATGATATGTCAGGATTCTCGGTATTGAAGTTTTACGTTTCTACTTTCGAAACTCTTCAGTGAAATTACGACCAGAGAACGAAGGGATAATTTTCCGAGTAAAGTTTTATATCAGACCAGTGATGTGTGGGATTATTGCAAGCTTCCTGGAATGATATGAATTCACAATGGTACCCCTGGCTAAAGGAAAGAAATGAAAAAGGACGGAATAAGTTTCTTAATACTGAAGAATAACTACGCTGTTATGTTGGTCTTGAGATACTCGCAGAAGAGCCGAAAACAAGACAATGAGCGGACGTGATATTTAAGCCCCTGTGATGGCGAGGGAAAAGATGTCGGCCATCTTTTGAAAAAAGCATTCGTTCCAAAAATACCATGGTATCCACCCGCAGAATGAGCCAAACCTTTGTTTTCTACAGCGCAGTCAGTGTTATTCCGTTTGTCTTGTGACGGCGAGTTCCGACTTCGTTTTTTAGACTTGTTGCTACACGTATATGAGATTCGACACCAAGGCCCCCAAGGTTCTTTGCGCAAGTAGACATATTAATGTGATCAAAATTCAAATCAGCCGCCAAAAAGACAGCGACAATGATTGAGCAACGCTGCTGTCTAACTTGAGCGATCAGTCTATGTCAAGTTGTCGTTGCAGGTTACGGGGAGTTTCTGAAAACCTGGCTCACAGACTTTACAAACACATGATTTTTCAAACAATGAACAAAATGTGAGAGTTGAAATAGGTGTTTCCGTCGAAAGTTGGCATCCAATTCCCTGAAACCCCTATTAGCAAGCCCTTCAAAGAGGTGAACAAATATTGCAGATTATCCAGGCACTCCAGATATCGCAGGATGTCTCATGGACAGATGTTTCGGCATCTCCGATACTTATGATCGGCACGAATATGCCAGATGTTCTGCACATACTTTCTGCAAGCCAAGGGCTATTGACAGACTGGACGTCGGTTCGCTTCGACTAGTAAATCAGGAGACTTTTGAAACAGCCGAAACGTCCGCCCACTTTTCAAACACTCGGTGCCATCGGCGCATCGAAGAGTTTACCGGCAGCACTCCGCCTAGACACGTGGCGAGGCAGTATACTACGAAAAACGCATGCTACGGATCGGCACAAAAAGTATCGGTTGATGTGTATTATGACATAATAACAGACGGAATGGGAGACACGCGATATGGCACGTGCACGCCCCAGACAGCGCTAGATGTACAGGTGAAGAGAAGGGGAGACGCCAAGACGCAAGCTTAACGCAATCTTCTGGCCTCACGCTCAGACTCCATCAAGCACAAGATGTCGTTTTCTCTGACTGGGCCCTTGACGTTTCTGACGATGGTTCTGGAGGCGTCCTCCAAGAACTCAACTCTGACTTGGGTGACACCACCTCTGGAGCCGGTTCTGCCCAAAACCTTGATAACCTTAGCAAGAGTAACTGGAGTCTTAGTGTCCTGAAAAGCTGTTAGTATTCTGTATGGCGAAGGCAGGGGCCACGGCTGACCAAAGCGGGAGTAGAAAATGCCTTTTGAGATTCAGGCTGTGATTCTCATGTGTGGAGAATTTGACGGTGCGGTTTTGGCACTTCCAGCCGGCGTCTTTGGGTTTCTTGATTATCACCACACATTCTATGGAATGGAGCATCTCTGATATGAGATGCAATAATCAACCAGACATCGTGACTGGCGGAATAAACGGATGCCGTTTTCAGTTCAAGGCGCCCACGTGGTTAGCCGTTGGCAGGCAATGTTTCCAAATGGATACATACCATTTTAATTTGTTGTACGATGAAGTAAGAAATTCAGGAAGGGAAAATTTTTTCTCAGTGAAAAACTCGCAGTCGCGGGCGGGACTTGGGCGCGCGCACGACCAAAAGACTGGATTTTTTTCGCGAGCAGAAAGGACGTGCGCGTACCGGCGGATCACGTGCCGCGCCCCTTGGGCGGAACGGGCCCGGCGGCTAGTTGACACCAGACATGTGTTGTAATATTAATTCCGGGCCAATTGCCCTCGTTGTCAAGGTCTGAGGCGATGAAGTGAATTAATTTTTTTACCGCTGAATTATTTGGTTGGCGGATCTAGCGGACTGGCGTGCTGGCCCTTTTAAAAAGAAACAGCAGTCAACTAGAAACAGGTTTCAACTCGGAACAGTCAACCGGAAAAATAAGTCAAGTAGGGACAAAATTCAAGTAAAAACTCAATTCAACTAGGATCCGGATCAACCAAAACAGAGGCCAACGAGTCTAATCATGAACGGAAAACAGCGAAGAACAGAATTCAAAAAGGAACAAATTTCAAGTAGGAGCAGAATCCAATTATAAACGGTAATAACCAGAAACAGGATTCATAAGAGTCAGAACCCAATTAATAATAAGCAACTGCAGCTAGAACCTCAGCAGAGATCTCGAGCTTTCATGTGGCCTGAAGATCCTTGGGCCTGGTGCAGTCTTTTTGGCTCAAAAAAAAAAAAAGCCGCCTCAGTATTAGAGCAATAATCTGACCGAAAACGGAAAGCCACATGGCAACTAAGAGCAATGTCTTTTCACCAGGCTTTTTTTGTTAACTTGATGGTCTCTGTCAAGTTTGACTGGTCACATACTTTCCGCGGTTCTATGGTATATTGGCCTTGGAGTATGGCTCTATGAGACATTTGCGCGCTGGCTGCAAAATCCACTTTCTGCTGACAGAGGAAACCTGGAGATTACCACGTGACTGGAATATACCCCATTAGTGTGCTGGAGCACACGGTGCACGGAATTGGCAATGTTCGCGGGTCCTGACGAATTGGTTTCTTAAAATTGGTAATCTCGAGATTTTGGTCTGGCATGTATGCAAAACGTTGTCTAAGACTTTATCTGCCAGCCAGACCATTTGGCCGCCGGGAATCATAGGGAAGACCTAAATTCAGCTGAAGTAAGCTTTTCAGAATATTCAGAAACAAAGAACGCCTTTCGTCAAAGACTATCGAGGCGCCGGTTTGACTAAATCGTCGTGACAGGCCTCAACATGAAGACAGGCCCGGTGCAGGAGAATACTCCACATATTGCCGTGACGCGGCGTGGATGCAGTACGACAGCTGGCCTTCCGGGCGAACGCATGATTGCCTTCTGCGGGTTGTATGATCAAGCCTGTCGGTCCGTTTGACAGTGGCAACGCATCGGCCGAATAGCGCAGGACCCGAAAGTCCACCATAAATTATTTGCACTATTGCCTAGTCCAGAAATCTCCGAAAATAGTGGAGTGTCGAGAAAACGAGGAGCATACATCAGGTCCACTTTTCCATTCCTAGATTTGACTATTGGTTCCTTCTTATCCTTTTCTTATCTGCCACTGCACCTTCTTTTGGACAGGCTACAAAAGTGGTACCGCATAGTCCAAAAAACGTCTACCTAGCGTCGCCTCCAAGCTTCCCAAGTTTCTCGCTGGTTTAAGACTTCTTCTTTATCTATTGCAAACCACCGGAGGTCGATATCACCATGTCTGTTTCGGAACTGCAGAATTCGGACTCGCCTTCGCAAACCTCCAAGCCTAACAACGAGTTTCTGGACGGGCGAAAAATCCCCCCTTACGCCTGGAAAAAGTCCATTCTGGACTGGTGGAGCCACTCGTGGAGCAAGACCTATTCCGACAGCAACATCGAAACCAGGCTCCTTTCGTTCTTGCCATTCTTCCCAAAGCCCGACGGTCTGCGCAAGGCCCAACTTATTGATACTGATGTCGGAGGCGGGAATTTCATCCACGAATTCTACATTGAAAACACGGCTGCCCCAGATCCTAGTCATGGCTCATCGGCACTCGCGGCAAGCCCCGTCAAAGACATTGTTCTTATCCACGGGTATGCGGCATCGCTCGGTCTCTTTTTCGATAATTTCGACCGGTTGTCGTCGATTCCCGGCGTGCGCATACATGCAATCGACATGCTTGGGTTCGGCTTCTCGTCGAGACCGGATTACCCCAAATACAAAAATGACACTGTTGCCCAAGTCCAGCAAAACGAGGACTGGTTCATCGACTCGATCGAGGAGTGGCGCAAGCGCCGTGGGATCGAGAAGTTCGTGCTCATCGGCCATTCTTTTGGCGGCTACCTCAGCTGTGCCTATGCAATGAAGTACAACCAGAAGCGGATCGACGAAAACAAGCAAAGCTTGATAGACAAATTGATTCTTCTCAGTCCCGTGGGTGTTGAGCGCCACGCAAACTCTCTCTTGAAGGACAAGTTCGAGTCTGCCCATCAGGTGTCGTTTTCCGAGCGGGCTGCCGAGAATTTGGAGGAGCCCGAAGTGGAAATCTCCCGTGAAATCACAAGCAACCAAGAAGACATTATCGCCGGCTCGGACCACTCGAGCAGCGAGACTCTTGCGAACGCAGAACCCAACGGCTCGCCCAAGGCTGTGGATCCCGAGAAGTCCAAGTCCTTGCGCCAGAAAATCATTCCTTGGCTCTGGGAGAAACACGCGTCGCCTTTTGCCATTGTACGCAGATGCGGGCCCATCCGGTCGAAAATGATCTCCCGATGGACCACGCACCGGTTTTCGCATGTTTACTACACCAACCCGGAGAAATTCCAGGGCATCCACGACTATTTCTATCGAGTGTTCAACGGGGCAGGGAGCGGCGAGTACGCCATCACGCGGATTTTAGCTTACGGAGCCCTTGCCAGGCTACCCTTGCTTGACCGGTGCCCCGAAAAATTTGTGCAGATGGACCTCCCCACTTTGTGGCTCTACGGAGACAAGGACTGGATGAACAGAGACGCAGGCAAGGAGATGGTGAAGGAAATCAACGGCCTTTGCGAGTCTAAGGGTAGGCCCGAGCTCGCCAAGTTCGGCGTGATCAGCAATGCCGGCCACCACTTGTACTTGGATAACCCAGACGAATTTGCCGACACGATTTTCGGCTTTTTGGACAAAAGCGAGGGCTGAGAACTGGGGGCCCGCGTCCCGTACATACTCGATAGAAGAGATACAGAGAAGGCACGAATGTGTATGTTGCGTGTACATTGTATTTCCATTGATCCCGTGTCCTGCTACTGAATGCTGTTCGCGGCCACTGAGCAGATGAATTAGAAAGAGCATAGATCAGAAAGATAGATCAGAAAGAGAATATATCGGAAAAAGCATAGATCAGAAAGAGCATGTAGATCACACGAGCATATATCAGAAAGATGATCAGAAAGATAGATTAGAAAGATAGATCAGAGAAATAGATCAGAAAGAGCATAGATCAAAAAGATAGATCAGAAAGAGCATTTATCAGACAGATGATCAGAAAGAGCATTTATCAGACAGATGATCAGAAAGAGCATTAATCAGAAAGATGATCAGAAAGAGCATTAATTAGAAAGATGATCAGAAAGAGCATTAATCAGAAAGAGAGATCAGAAAGAGCATTGATCAAAAAGATGACCAGAGAGAGCATTTATCAGAAAGATGATCAGAAAGAGCACTAATCAGAAAGAGAGATCAGAAAGAGCATAGATAAACACGAGCATAGATCAACACGAGCATAGATCAGAAAGAGAATTTATCAGAAAGAGAGATCAGAAACAGCATATATCAGAAAGATGACCAGAAAGATAGATTAGAAAGATAGATCAGAGAAATAGATCAGAAAGAGCATAGATCAGACAGATGATCAGAAAGAGCATTAAACAGACAGATGATCAGAAAGAGCATATATCAGAAAGATAGATCAGAAAGAGCATTAATCAGAAAGAGAGATAAGAAAGATAGATCAGAAAGATAGATCAGAAAGATAGATAAGAAAGATAGATCAGAAAGAGCATATATCAGAAAGATAGATCAGAAAGAGAATATATCGGAAAAGGCATAGATCAGAAAGAGCATGTAGATCAACACGAGCATGTAGATCACACGAGCATGTAAATCAGAAAGATAGATCAGAAAGATAAATCAAAAAGAGCATTCATCAGACAGATGATCAGAAAGAGCATATATCAGGAAGAGAATTAATCAGAAAGAGAGATCAGAAAGAGCATATATCAGAAAGATGGCCAGAAAGAGCATATATCACACGAGCAAAGAGATCAACGTCACAGGCTTTGTCGGTAGACAGCGGTTTTTTGCACCCAGAGATCCCATAACACTACGGGCCCTGGATCGTGGCCTGGAAGCCGACCCGCAAAGGTGGCCGTAGCGGAACATTCAAACCAAAACGAATATACGAGACCAACTGGAAAAAAAGACCGGGAACGACCAGGCTCGAGTTTCTCTAGTCAGCGATGCCAGGATGCGACTGCAGAACTCCTTTGCAAGAGCAAGTCGAAAACCCGAAGATAGCTGCGACCAAGAAAGGCAAGAAACGCCGGAAACGAAAAACAAAGAACCATCCGGTCCCGTGCCAAAATCCCCAAAGAATCCGAAAATGGCAGCGGGCCGATGGGGCGTGCGCTGCACAAACGACGACAAGAGGAACTTCTCGCGAGATCTCAGACCAACCCCAGATACGGAACATAGCACGTAGACATGTCCAGTGAAGACTCCTTGGTCCAGCGTTTCAAGCGCGTGGGCTTGGGCGAGAAAAAGGCCGTGGAAATCACGAAGAACAAGAAGGTGTGCCAGGCGTTCGTATCGATCCTCGACGAGGCCGGCGTGGACTCTTCTGCCGCTGACGAGAAAACGCTCAATTTGTTGCAGGGCTTGGCGGTGGAAAGCAAGGCGTTCCAGGGCGACGAGGGGCTTGCCAAGAGGCCGTTGGTCACGCGGGCCGTTGTGGACGGGCGGTTGAAAACGCCTTTGCAGCTTTCCGAGGCCGTGAAATACGTCCTTTCCCAGGGCGCCGGGGCCACGGACGAG